ATGCCTCTTAAGGGTGTGATTATGGAGCGTGAAAAGACCCGCTATGGTGTCCTAGGGGAGTCATTAGTAGTACTCCTGTACTTTTCAAATCTGAAAGCCTGTATACGAGTATATGATGCTTATTTATGCTCGCGCCAACGCAAGTTGCAACGCTATGGTATGTTATGTCGTTTCGGGTTTTCCGCATTCCTATCTAAAAACATGCGCAGTGGAAACATGGCGGTTGGCGGTGAAAGTGAAATTTGGTTCGGCTCTTGAAATTTACACTGTGCACAGCGAACTAAGGTATTGGTTTTAATAACAATGCTGGAATACTATAAGGTGAAGGTTATACTTAATACTAAACAAGGCAGAAATGCTTAGATGATCATTTTATTTGAGATATACGTAATTGTTCGGTAGTTTTTGTAGAGATACAAGATTTTCCAATGGATGGATGTCAGGCTGTGTATATCGACGGGAGTCACACAGCCTGGTTGGGTTATATCGGATGTAGAGACAAGCGGTTGGTCGTTTTAGAGAGCAAAGAAGGACGTGGATATTCGTCCTAGCATCAGACACCTGTTCGTATGCGCTATTCGTCCGAGCAGTTGTTGCGAATGCGCTGTTCATGTTGTATTACATAAATGTAATATAATGCTAGTCTAGGGAGTCACCTACTCCCTAACCACGCCTACTCTCTACCCCCAACCCTAACCCTAACACTAACTATAAACCGGCTCGGCTCTCTCATATACGCGAGTCATAGTACCAAACACTATCTATGGTGTATAACCACATACGCAACGCATGTATGCAGGGGCGTCACAGCCGTAGGGCTGCCGTAGCAAAACGCTACGGGCCCCCAGCCTAAATTAATTTAGAGCGTCTAGATTTCAAAATTTTGCTCAGCCCCCCAGCCCTTCACACTTCCTACCTCCGGCTCTCGTGCCGTGCGCCTGCGGCATGCAACATGAACAGCGCATGCGCAACAACTGCTTGGACAGATAGCGCATACGAACAGGTGTCCGATGCTCGGACGAATATCCACGTCGAGCAAAGAATGCTGCTTAACACAATACCATGAATTTAGTCTAGACTCGCAGACAAAGTCGAATAATATTGCCGTGAAATAGCACTATTTTCCCGTTGTACACTCTAGTCTAGGTATTATCAGGTACTATTAGCTCCTCTCCGGGTATAAATCTCCTGCCCCTGGTATTATTAGCTCTTGCCAGTCTTGGTTGTATGTGTAATTTGTAGGCAGTGTCTAAACGACCGGACCCGGTTTCGGAGTCCTGGGGCCGGTTTCACGAAGCGTACTTTACTTAAGTATGATTAAATCACTAATCATACTTAACTTCCTGTAATTATGATTAGTTAATCATACTTAAAAATCTGTTTCAAGTACATATTCCAACATATTTACATATTTAAGTACATATTTAACTAATCACATAAGTAGCCGACTTCAAGTTCAACATGAATCGACTGGTACTCGCTCCCCTCTCGGCTTAGTTACTCGATGGGACCTAGTGTAGTGCCTCTAGGGTAGACGACTACGGTTCGACAGACGTTAGTTCACAACGCGTGTCCAGTAGTAGGATTCAGAGTCCGCTCCTGTCGGTGTATTAAGGCAGGACGGCGATGAACACGTAGCAGATAACAGGTAGTACCAGATGAACAGAACACGGTGAGATGCGGTTAACGATACGGGGATATAGCTTTTATTGCGTGTTACTAATGTACAAATGATTCCCCTGCATTCGTATATGCAGCGGACCTTTTAATAGTTTTATTGATCCCGTCTAATATCTACGCGTCGCCGGCTCCGTCTGCTTCCCTCACGTTCGTCCTTGTCTTGCGTGGATCCACAGTCTCCCAGGTGTCTCCCTCGCAGTCGCTCCTAGCTCTACCAGAATGCCGTTCTTCGCCCGTTTTATTCCCCTCTCCCGTTCGGCTCTGGTTTACACCTACCTGAAAAACCGGTGCGTCTACCCTCTCTACAAATCCGCTGCCGTTCGCTCTCTCTCTGTTCCTTCCTCCCTCTCCCTAGACTTGAAAACAACTCTCCCTCTTTTCCGTCGTCCTCGGCTGCCTCTTCTCCTTCTCCTTCTTCTTCCTCTTCCTGTTCTTCCTGGACCTGTACCTATAACTCCCTCTTCCTCTTTCTCTTCGTCCTCGGCTGCTTCTTCTCCTTCTTCTTCTTCCTCCTACCTAGCCTGAAAATAACTCTCCCTCTTTTCCGTCGTCCTCGGCTGCCTCTTCTCCTTCTCCTTCTTCTTCCTCTTCCTGTTCTTCCTGGACCTGTACCTATAACTGCCTGAGCTGCGATTCTGTGCTCCTTTTATACCCGCTGGCAACACCCCCCCCCTAGGGCGTTGCGCCCTCCGTACCTGGCAGTACCGTGCATGACTCATTGCAATGTCGCAACCCGACCGCCCGTGCTTGGCACCGATTATTGCGTCATCGCAGGCAACTCATTTCTAAGTGAATATTCCTCGTTTTCGCCCGACAGGCGGCAGCAGCAGTATGATCCAATATGGCTGCGCCCAGGGGTGTGCGTGTTGACATATATTTATGTGCAATCTATATCTTATCCTCTCTTTAGTCAATATATATCGTTACTCTCTCTATACGGTGAGTTCAGTCTATTGGTCACGATCTAGTCTACTAGTCCCGTAAGTGATACACCCCCGAGATCTCCACACTAGTACTACCTACATATCTTCTAGTACTAGCAACTAATTATGCTGAGAGGGTCTATGTCCCCCGGGTACTGCCGGAACGTACCTGGGTACGGTCCGGTATACCGGAACGTACCCTGGCACTATCTAATATGCCGAACCGTACCTGGCCTACTCCACTAACGAGTCTAGGGAGTCGCCTACGCCTACTCCCTAACCCGAACCCTAATCCTAACCCTAACCCTAATGCTAACCCTAACCATATCCAATAGTGACCAGGGTACGTTCCGGCAGTACCCTGGGGCAAGGAGCTACATATAACAAGGAGAAGAAGCAGATTGGCTGTGTGCTTTTCGCCTCAAGGACGCCATTATGGACCATAATCAGCTGAAACGGCTGTGCAGATCCGTCCCCCAGAGACAATAGAACACTAATCTGTTCTGGAGCAATATGACCAAATATGCAAATATTTGGGCCAGATATGGCGGCGCTTCCTCTCCTTGTTATAACTTATATGTAGCTCCTTGCCCTCGGGGACATAGACCCTATGAGCACTAATTATGATTAGTGGATTTAATCATATGCCCCCGAGTAGGATAAACTATTGTGATTAACTTAATCATGATTAAAGTTAATTACGCTTTGTGAAACAGTCACTTCAATTTAAGTACGAGAAGTTAATCATGATTAGTGATTTAATCACGATTCAATACTTAAGTACGCTTCGTGAAACCGGCCCCTGAAAACTAAACAACTGGCTCTCTTCTCTGATTGGTCAGTTTCCGAACATAACAGGACAAATATATAATAATATGAATAGGACAATTTTTAATGCAAAACATAAAGAAATATATTTAATTCCGAACATAAACAAAAGTTACAGAACAGAAACAAATAAAATACAAAGCAATATACAATTAGAAAAAAAAACATCTTATGGGATTCGAACACAGACCCTTACTATCACGAAGCGAATGCTCTATACCGCTGAGTCACTTACTGACTTAGAACTACTTGGCAGTCGTAGATATAGTCATAGACCCTAACCCTAGCTCTAGTACTATAGGCTATAGAGTAACGAAGTGATGACGTCACGGTGGCATGACAATGAGCCTGCTGGTTCTACACAATCATATGCTCTGGTAGCCACAAGTTCCCATCTCGCTTAACACTACGTGGCGTAACAGTACGCCGTGTAACTAGTCGGAGAGCCTGGTCGGTTTAATGCTCTGGTAACATTAACTGTGTGTCGTGTTTTGTACCCGATTGTAACCATCATTCTGAGAGTCATTATTGCAGTTTTTATAGATTTCCAAAGGATGGAAGTGAAAAGCAACGGAAAAAAAATAAAATAATTAACAACAACAAAATTTAAAAAATTCATTAAATATTGTAAGATCGACTTGCTACCGATGCTTTACCGCTGTCTGCAGCGCACACACTCGTGTTTTACGTACGCACAACATTTTCACGCAGTTAACGTTATGGAGCCAGTGGCTTGTGTAGAACCAGCCCGTGCGTTGTCTTGCCAACGTGACGTCACACTTCGGTACTCTATAGCCCGCGTACATTGGGCTGCCTTCGGGTGGCACGATTTCTTCACTATGTCGGGACTAGATGCACCCGAACGTGATTTAATCCGAACGCGTAGTCCGACCGAGTTGTACCAAATCTCCGGAGGTTGGTCGAGCTCGTTTCAAGATGGCGGGCGTTAGTGGAAGGCGTTGGTAATTTCATTATGAAAAAGATTATCTTCGGGCAGTTGAACTGGAAATTTGTCCACTAACACCTAATGCTTGAGTGGACTCATCAAACTAAGCTGTCTGAGAAGAATTTGTTCATCATTGTCCATAATCATACTCAAAAACTCATAAAAACATGCTGAAGCGCGATTCTGTATGGGCGCCGCCATTTTGAATAAACCACGGTCGGTACTAATCCCATTCGGCTGTGATGGATGCCCGGTAGTCGTCTGGTCGGAACCGAGGTATCACAGCCGAAGGCGGCCTTGACTGCCGCAGTCAATGTACGCGGGCTATAGTACTAGTACTACTAGTCCGAGATTCCTCTGACCAATACCCACACCGACGATTTTGGTGGTTTTGGTGTGGGTTAGATGGTGTGGTGTTGGTGGTCTAACCCACACCAAAACCACCAAAATCGTCGGTGTGGGTTTTGGTCAGAGGAATCTCGGACTATAGTACTACTAGAGCTACTCTAACCCTAACCGGCCCGAATTCCCGTCACCTTCCTCTGCTAGGGCCCTGAAATCTATGTCCGTATTTGCGCGTGACATTTACGGACTCATATTACTTGCTCTCCGCAGTAAATTACCTGGAAATCCGTTAGTATTCCACCTTTTTTTGGGAACTCATAAATCACCTCACACAAGATCCGACATTGTTATTGACTGTACCCTACTGCCCTCTCGCGGCAATATTATGCATTCGCCGCCCCACCTCTTCCACTGATCTCTATAAAACATCTGGATAGGGAGTGTCTATATTCAGGCCGGTACGGGAGATTACGGTACGCATATATTTGCTAATATATTGACTATATCGCGCGTCAATAACTCAATATTCACAGAGAGTATAGCTAAGACATGTGTCTATAGGTATCTAGAATATATTATGCAAATGATCTCCCGTACCGGCTTGAATTCATATACTCTCTGTGAATATTGAGTTTATTGACGCACGATTAGTCAATATAGCAAATATATGCGCGCGAAGTGAATTACAGATGATTAAATTTCTAAAATTCTAGATACCTATAGACACATGTCTTAGCTATACTCTCTGTGAATATTGAGTTTATTGACGCGCACGATTAGTCAATATATAGCAAATATATGCGTACCGTAATCTCCCCGTACCGGCCTGAAGACAAATAGGCTACCTAATTTTAAACAAGCAAGTCCACGTAAAACTGTTTGACGCCTGGGATGCCTACATCAAACATGAGAAGACTGCAAACCAACTTCTCAACATATGTGCACACCTGAACGGGCCAACTATTGAATAGATACCGTATATTTTCGCGATATATAAATAACTTCAGTTGTGATGTATTTCTAAATATGCGGAAAAAGCTAATTACAGTGTCACTAATTGTATATTTTTGTTTAACCTCCAGTGCTGAATGATGTTTCGATTTTCGCGATATAAAAATAACTTCAGTTGTGATGTATTTCTAAATATGCGGAAAAAGCTAACTACAGTGTCACTAATTGTATATTTTTGTTTAACCTCCAGTGCTGAATGATGTTTCGATTTTCGCGATATAAATATAACTTCAGTTGTGATGTATTTCTAAATATGCGGAAAACTATTCAAGCTAACTACGAAGTTGCTAATTATATATTTTTGTTTAAACTGCTATAGTTGGTTTTTTGTAGTAACCAGAATTTATGTGCCCCACCCATGGTTGATTGACAGTACTTTTGCTGTATATATATATATTTTACTAGTCCAGGATATATATATATATGTACACATGTACATACGTATTATATATGTGTGTGCGCATGCGTCCATATATATATATAATATATACGCACGCACACAGACATATATATATATATATATATATATATATATATATAT